TTGAGTGTAAAATCTTCCCCTGCCCCGCTGCCACTGAACCTGTCTGGGACCCCAGAGATCCTGTTAGAAACCCCGTATATCAGGCCTTGTGGAGCCTGGCCTGGCTTCTGCTGCAACCAGTGCAGATAGGTGTTTCCATTACTGTGTAGGAGGCTCTGACTAGACTTGCAGGAGATAGAGACTGTCTCTCCAGGGATGATTGGCAGGGAGAGTGGAGTCTGGGTCATCACGACATCCCCACTGGATCCTAAAATAATGAGAGAGAAATGCAAGTTTATATACAAGCATCATTCACATTTTAAAAATTTCAGGCTATTTAATCTTGACATTTTGATTGTCACAACAAAATACTCCATTTCTGAAAAGGATCCAAGATCTGCAAGCCCCACTAAGGCCTCTATAAATCTCCTATACCAAACCTAATTTCTGTGTGACTATCCTCACCATGCTACAGATCCTTTTTCCTTCTGGAACCTTCCTCACTGTCACAGATCTAAACCTTGGATGTCCCATCCTGGAGGACAAGTCGGGCACATCTCACACATGACAGAGCACACGTGAGAAGGTAAGCAGTGGGGACACAGAGCTCGCCCTCCTACCCATTCTCCTCCTCCAGCCCTCTGTGCCCTCACCTGGGACCCAGAGCATTAGCAGCCCCAGGAGCTGAGCAGGGAACCTCATGTTGAGAGCTGAACTGGGGAGTCCTGGGCAGTCAAGAGATCAGAGCTGACTTTTATCTCAGACTTGGAAGGAAATGTGCTCCCTGGGGGACAGTATGCAAATTCCCTGCTGGGTTGAGCAGTGTGGAAAGAGAGGAGAGTGGGGCCCTCTTACTATATATATGGATTTAAAAATAAAACCTTTGACCTCCTTCATACTACAATTAGAAATAAATGCTAGACCATAGTCTACATGTGAGAAAAAAATAAAATGATGCTCTTGAACATAAACATATAAGAAAATCTTTAGGTCCTGAAGGTGGCAAGATTTATTGACCATAAGACACACATAATCACACACAGAGATAAAAACCACAAGAGAAAATATTGATAAATTAGACTAAATTACTATCAAGAACTTCAAAACCATATGTGTATTTGAAAGAAAAATAAATACATGAAAATTTACTCAACATCAATTTTTATGAGGGAAGTATAAGTTTTAATCATGGTATCACTTTAGATTTATCAGGTAGATATAAACAGAAGTTTGACAGTTCCAAGACAAGATTGACAGCAGCTAGAACTTTTCTTACATGGTCGTTTGAGTGTGGGTGTGTGAGTGTTGTGGTAAATTAGAAGCAGTGTTTATTTCAGCAAAATTTACACCACCTTTTGACAAGGCACATCTCCTCCTAGAAATTTACTGAAGAGAAATGACATCTAAAAGGACAGACCTAAAATTTTATCAGTCTCAATATGTGAACAATTCATTAATTAAAGAACAATTAGTACTATATTCATAGAAACAATAATTTTTTCCACAGCAAAGAAGGAACACATGATTCCCACAGAAACAGTATAAATTTAGTTCAAAAAATAAATTGAGCAAATGAAGCATGACTCTAAAAAGTAGAAACTGTATCGGGGGCCGACAGGTGGTGTGATGGTTGAGGACACTGGACTCCCAAAACCCTGACCATAGATACCAGATCTGGGATCTTGCTTTCTTGTTTTCCCTCTCTCCCTCTTTAGCTCTGTCCCTCTTGTCAAATTAAGAGTAAATAAATAAACAAATGAATAAATAAATTTGAGGGACCAGCAGTTAGCGTAACGGCTATTTCGCTGAATTCCCATGTAGTCGAGTCCCGGACCCGATGGCTTAAAATAAAATTCTGGGAAGAAACTGAAGGAGAAGGGATTTCAGCATGGCCATTCCCTCTAGGGGATGATTTCTCGCTTTCTGTCTCCCTGTCTCTCTCTGTCTTTCTGGCAAGCGCATGTGCCCTATAGCAAAAACCTCTCAAAAAAAAAAAAAAAATTGAATAAAATAGTGCTTCAAAAAAAAAAAAAAGAAAAAAAGAACGAAAGAAAAAGAAACTGTTGGGGCCAGCAGATGGCGTAGTGGTTATGTCTCTTGACTCCCACATTGGCAATCCTGGTTCCTGGACCCAGTGGCTCAAAACTCATGCCAAGCATGTGTGCCCAAGATCCTGGGAGGAGAGTGAAGAAGAGGGGATTGCAAAATGTCCATGCCCCTGGAGGCATGGTGATTTCTCACTTTCCCTCTCACTGTCTCTGTCTGTCTCTCTCTCTTGCTCCCTGGTGAGCACATGTGCCCAAGGGGTGGGGGTTCCCATCCTATAGTGAAAAACCACTCAAAAAAATTTTTTTTAATTCAGATTTGTGACCAACAGATGGTAGAATGGTTATGTCGCTGGACTTCCATATAGTCAACTGAGTTCAAGTCTCAGATCCAGCAGCTTAAAAACAAAAACAAAAACAAAACTAATTCCAGAAATATATGCATGCATGCCCAAAATCCCAAAAGGAGAATGGAGGAGAAGAGACTGCAGCATTGCCAATTCTACTGAGGGGTAATTTCTCGCTTTTTGTTCCTCTGTCTCTCTTTGTCACTCATGTGCTCGATAGCAAAAAGTCTGTCTGAAAACTGGTATGGTCTAAAATACTGTTGGGTTGAGCATTGCACTGACAAAGAAAAGACTGGGAGCTTTTATGAGGTGCTGGAGAAAATGCGCATCGAGATCTGGGAATGAATGAATGAATGAATGGGAATTATATATGAATGAATTAATGAATTCATTGAATTAATT